ATTACGAATTACAATTTTAAAAAGTGTAGCTTTCTTTAGTTCTTAATTTGAGATTTACAAATGTGAGTTGGGTAAAAGTATTTAACAGTGCTCAAGTTTTATAAAATTTGAATTAGCGAAGATTGACTGTATAATCAAGTCGAATTGCTTGGGAACATAATTATTGTGAGACCGATATCCCCATTGCTAGGTTTTTCAGCGATGGGCGGTCATGGAAACCGAATTCAAATCGCGTCGATGTTGCAGGCGAAGCTGATTGCAAAGTCAATCCATCCCGCTTTTTTCCCCAGACCGACTTCTCCCCTTGATCCCCTTCTTATAGCCCCCGCACTTTGCTCAATGGAATTGCAAGCACTTGAAGTGCTTCCGGTCCCTCGGTTTTGAAGTCTGAAGTTTCCAACATGGGCAAAAACAACGAAAACAGAAAATATAAAATGCCAGCAACAATAACACCATCAGCGGGAAGTGAAAAGTGGGTGGGGGAGAGGTGTGGGCCCCAAGTGGAGGACCTGAGATTTGTTTTTTGTTTTCAACTAAAAGCTTCCACTAAACTTCAATTTGAGTTTTTTTTTTTCTTTTTGCCATGGATGCAGTTTTTAGGATGGTTTTTCTAGTAGTTCTTTTTTGTTTCCCAGATCTTGATCGGTTTGGGGACTGGTCCACAGGTGGCGTTGCACACTTCCGTCTCGTTTTCCCTCGGTATATCCATCTCTTTTTTGCCCCTTTATACATTCCAATCTTCCTGGACAATTTGTAACTTGAACTCTTTTTGTTGGCTGCCTTCCCGTTCTGCTTCTATTGTTATTTCTCGCCCAATTGCAGTGACTTTTCTCCACCCCTTTTTCTCTTTTTTCTCACTTTTCCACCTCCTTTCTCCGCCTCATTTTTTAGATTTGGTATACCCTTTCAGAGGATATCATCTCAGAGTCATCGTAAGCGGAGAATCACCTATTGTTATTTTAAGGTTGTGACGGAATGAATTTACAATCAACTTAAATTTGATTGCAGGCTTTACTTAAACTAGGGAAATTTAACTGTATATCTAGTCCATCGAATTGACTTAACTTTTGTTAGTAATTTTTTTTTCTAAACGCCTCTAAGTATGCATTATGTTTTTTAAATAAGAGGTACTTTTAATATAAACTCAACTATAGCTTTCAGTATTTTAAGCGATTTTTATTGTAATGTTTTCACTGCAAGGGTATTTCAACTTCGGCTTGCCAAAGTCATCTTAATCGCTCGTTTCCCTTTAGATTATATTATGATTATGATATTTTTATGATGCTCCCCACTTGAACTTTGTGCACCGCCAGCGGATTGTGGAAAAGCGAGGGGGGAAATGGGAGATGGGGGTTGTGCTGCATTGTGACAGAAATTGTAGGCACCACACTCCATTGTGCCAGTGACAGTGTAATAATTTAATAGACTTCCCCTTTGTAGTGGGAAATGTTTGACTTGGTTCTCCGGTCTTTTTTTTTTTTTTATCAGCTGGAGACACAAATTCCCCAACACTACCTACCGACAACAGACAATTGAATCATTATTCAATAATTATCGCTGACAAGAAAAACAAAAAAAGATTTGCCGCGCTCCATTAACTTTACGCTTTGAAGCAAAACGCCGACCGAAAAAAAAATATGTTTTCCAAATATGCCCGTTCCACTCCTCAATTTTCCGCCACGAATCAGAGCGAAGATCGATCTTTGAAATGAGTTAAAAGACGATTGGCTGTCTAGGGTTAATTTTTTTTGGTTAGGGCAACGCTAGACAGCCACGCCCACAATCGAAAGTCACTGACCCACAAAGTGGTTGCCTAGAGAAAAAGATGCAACAGCTTTGGCAAAATTAATAACTTGTAGATACATTTTTAATTTGCAGCTACTGCCAGAGGCGAATCAAAGAAAAAAAAATGAAGAAAAGACGAAGATCATGATGATGACTTGCCGCTTGGCTAGCCATGTTTTTTGATATGCCTGGGAATTCAGGTCATCGAGAACACAATTTCCCATCTGAAACTATATGTCTCATTCTTCTCCGATCCAATCCATCCCCATCGATTAACGCCAGCTCCTTTTGCAAATCGATCAATTAGATCTTTCGGCACAAAAAGATCACAAGTACCGAAGAGCGACCCAAATAAGCAGTCAAATTGTGGAGTAATTCCATTTGGCCAACACGTGTGCACAGGTCCCAAAAGACCGGCCCAAGTCCCTTGTCGGGAGTCCCACAAATGAGTGAAAAGCAGACAAAGCCTGGCCCCAAAACCAGTTACCACCGAGCTCCTACCCTGGAAACTCCCCTTAGGGGCCAAAAGGCAAAAAGCAGCAGAGCAGACAACAGAAATTACCGCATAAAGCGAGTGGCAACAAGACAAATGAAAGGGGGAGTTTTGGGGGCAGGAAAAGTTAGCCAGACTTAATGAGGATTCGTTGCGACTTTTATGAGCTGCAAGTGAGAAATGAATGAAGAGCACTGAGCCAAAAACTGGCGACTTAAGCTTGTTTTATATAGTATGTACTATTATAAATTTTTTAAATAATAATAGACCAAATAAATCCATAAAATTTATTTATGGGTGTTATCTATTTTGATGTAACCGACCAGAAATCGAGAAATATAATGTGTAATAGCCTGATTTCATTGCCGCATTAGTGGACTTTTGTGGAAGGTATTTCCTGCCAGAGATCCAGCAGTAATGCATTTTGTACTGCGTGCAGACTATGCAGCGTGCGCTATTGTTTTCAGTCATTTGTATGCAAAATAGATTTTATATTCGAAAGAAATACAAATTGCTCCATCTTTGCATAAAAAAACCAGCTGTTGTAGAGGTATTTTTTCTAAAAATGTTCGGGGCGAATGATTTTTAATCGCATTTATTTTAAATGCGGCATTTAGCCCTTTGGGATTCCCTGTGCAAATAAATGGGTATTAGGCTAAATGCCTTTTAATGTGCCAATGGAATCCGGCTATAAAATGTAATTAAACTTTAATCGAATACTAGTTGCAAAAACATTAAAACGTATATTAAAGCAAAATAACTTAATAACTATTTTAACAATAAATCTATAAGGTTTTCTTTCTGTGTAGTAAGAGGAGTAAGGTGCAGACTGATGAAGCGGAGTTAAGGGAGATTGTAGGGGCTATAGGGATGGAGCTGGAAGAGTGTTGACTTAACCACCTCTCCTGTGAATAGGATACAAGAGTGGTTCGTTTGGGCTGACAAATTGTTAATATCACGCGAGGAGGGAAATGAGTCAACTCCTAACCCACTGACATCATCGGGAACGGTGGAAATTCCAGAAAAATTACACAAAAATGTGTCTCAAGGGGAGAGCTTAAAAGTGTTCCGGGAACTGCCCAGAAGTACAGCGAATATTGCTAGAAGTTACTTACGAGTGAGTAAATAGTATTGTGATATAAATATGTTTTGGCAAACAGTATAAACATAAGCACAAGTGAGTTTGTCCACCGATATATATGCGGTAGTCACCCTTTAACCGGGCTAAACATCGAAATTCAAAACGACAACATTGAAAAAGTCTCCCGAACCCCGAACTTTGCTCCCTCAGAGAACTTCCTCCCTTCGATGCAGAGAGCCAATCTAAGGTTTAAACTCCTGTTCAGGGGTTGCAATCCCAAACCACCCCTATACCCACACTCTCGTCTGAGTATCCTCCCCATTTAGCTGAGTGCCAAATATTTCACTTGTTTTTTAATTTTTGCTCTCTCTGTTTCTCTGTTTGTTTTATTTTGTTCAGGTTTTTATTTTGGATAATTGCCCAGGGGCGTCATTTTCGGGGGTGGGCACACTTCTTTGGCCAGAGGGAAGCGGCACATGTGCCCAGCCCCTCCTACTTTTCGACCCACACCTTAAGTTTGCCCCTCAAAGGCTTTGTTTTATTTTGGAATATGCGAAAATTAACTGGTAAAATGTTGGCCCATTAACAGGGGTAACTCATCCTCTACAAACATTTTCCAATTAAAAAAGTCACCCAACTCCCCACTTCTTCTTTCCGCAGCAATGTTGCATCAACATTTCCGGGTAAAAAAAAAAAAAAAAAAACTACAAGTGCGTGCTTTTGAATGAAGGTTTTTCCAGGCGGAACTCTATGACGCAAGCTGAGGGTTTTGGGGAAGGTTCGGGGAGTGGGGAAAACTAGGTCAAAATTCTTGGCCCAAGATGTTGCCGCGGGGCGTGGCTGCGAGGGGCGGCCCAGATCTTCTCTAGGGCGCTGACCTGATTTTTTCTCCGCCTCTAAAATGCAAATGCCTCGTCGTTTCATTTTACTTTTGTTTATTGCGGCTACCATTATGACTTGTGTCTTTTGTCATTGCCCAAAAAATAGAAAGAAAAAGTCCAGCAATTCGTTTCAGGTTGCTTTGGTTCTGATTCCGAGTTGATTGTTCTGCGCGGGTTATTAATTCATCAGCAAGGCTTTCACTGCTGGCCATACTTAACTGATGGGTTCTATTCTGGTGCGGTTTTCAAGGTTCCAAACTATCGATTAATCGATGGGGAGTTATTCTCAAGAAAAAACGTAGTTTATTACTTTTTCATTCCGAGTTCGTTGACCTATGTGCTTTTTCTCTCTCTCTCTCCTTTTTTTTTTTTTTTACTTTTTCAGCTGCTTTTAAGGCAATTGCCTCATTACGCAAATGCCTCATAAAATATTGTGTGCGATGTGGTCAAAACGATTTGGCCAATATCAATTCATACCCATTCGGTCAGAAAAAGGACCACAGAAAGGGCTGTTCGATTAGTTTTCAATAGAGCAAGTTAGGTGGAAAAAGTGAATTCAACAACTTTTCCAACTTCCCTCGTTGGCTAGAAAAAGAATATGGCAAACATGGCCAGTCAGAAAAAAAGAGGGGGAAGTTCTCATTGATTTTCCCACCAAAAGAGGTGGTATCTGTGGGATACACGTGTGCCTGCACTTGATTTACGAGCTAAAACTGTAATCGCATCTATATCTGTATCCTCTTCTTTTCCGGTCTTGCAGATCTCATACCCTCTGGAAAATCGAAACTCTGGAAGCGAATTTCCCTCCACAGCAGGAAACCGAAGAGAAACCACAGCTGAAGCAGCTAGGAAAACAACACAAACCAAATTGCAATGACGTAAGTTTACACGGCGGGCAGAACATTTGACAATGAATAGATACAACACTCGCCCATTTACTTACGTATCTGCCAGATACAAGTTTTCTTGTCAATCGCTTGTGAAGGACATTTCAATTAGGCAAACGACAATTTCTGACTTTCATTCAAATTGAGTTCAATTCACATATTCTCCGAGCTTCACATTTTCTGAAAGTCTGATTGTCACCTTAAAATTGCTTGTCTATGACATTTATGGGTCAACATTTAAGGTGGATATTTGCTGGCACTGAAAAAGCTCAACTTTTAGTTAAACAGTTGCGCTTTCCTTTCCTTCAGTTGAGGTGCAAATCTCTCTCTTTGCTTGACACCTCGAAATTGATGTGTAGGAAATTTATGGGTCGACCTTTTAAGAAACTCATTTGCCCGAATTTATGGCAAACCCCCAAAACCCAGTTCCCTGGGGATGTGGGGTTAATTTTGGGGAAGTAGAGCAGCTAGCTCCTCGTTTATTAATCCCCATAATTTGTTTTGGTCTAAAAGCGGGGTGCGGCTTCCCATTTGGGGAGTTTGCCTACTGGAAAGCTGTTAGAACACCATACCCTCACGATAAATGAATTGTGAATAAGCAAAAACGTTGCAAGTTTGCGTTTATTCAGTTTATGTTTTTTTTTTTTTTTTTTTTTTTTTGGGTGTGTCATCATTAAAATGTTGTCTCCAAGGAAATCCGGTCAGCCAAGCCAGCGTGTGCTTTAAACTTAATTTCTGGGCAACTTTTCGCCTGAATTTGTCCAGTTCGTTTTGGGTACCCAGTTGAAATTCCGCCGCCCAATGGGTAACATTTGTCCCACGGAGCCGCTCGAGGGGAGTCTGCCAAATTGGTGAGGGGCAGATGCATCTGGCGCCTGTTTATTAAATGCATCTATCAGTGAAGTGCTCCCTAATTGCCGCGCCATAATTGCTGAGTTGCTGGCTTATCGAGTGCATTAATCACATCGAATTTTGGGAAAAGAACGGTTTTTGAAAAATCTATTAAACCCCTTAAGTTTGCGGACAAACAAAAAAAGTTTCCTCCTGTTTACTTGGCTACAAACGAAACGAGTTTCGGTTTTACCGTGCATTATTTGTGTTTGAGTTTAAGTCACATGAATGTGAATATATGTACATAAGTAAATATGAGTGACTCCTCGAAATCCAACTTTAATCCTTTTGGTTTCGAGCTTGATTGAAGTCGGTTTCAGTAAGCTGAATGGATCCGCACCTATCGTCACCTGTGCCGGAGGATAAGGAGGTTAAGGAGTAGGTGCTAGAGTGTGACCCAAATCCATGCTTTTGTCGGGCTTTATAAGTGACTGTTATACTGAAAGAAAACTTGATTTGATTTTGTATGTTAAAAGTGGTTTAAAAGAACAGAACATGTTGCATTCATAGAACAACAATATAAGTAATCATCGAATAGTTTAGTGAATACTTTATGGAAAGTATAAAACCGAAAAAAATGGGATTATATAAAACTGTTTTAAGAACAAATCACTTATATAGAAAAGCATTAATAGAACAACATTATAAGTTATCATTGAATAATTTAGTGAATACTTTATGTAAAGTATTAAACTGATAAATAATGGGATTATATTAAACTGTTTTAAGAACAAATCACTTATGTAGAAAGCATACTAGCAAAGTAAAGATACAAAGTACACAAATTTGTATTTAAGTTTGGAACTAGTGTAAAAATTATATGTTGTGTTTTTCTCTCAGTGTATTACCGGCAGGAAGCGCTCCTCCCGTGACGAGTTTATCGCGCAGTGATATTCGATATTGATTGAAGCCCCCACGCTCCCCCCAGCACTTCTTGATGTTTGCCCGGGGCAAACCGTTTTGAGTCTCCTGACTGCCTGGCAACCTACTTTGTGACTCCGACTGCTCACATGTGTGGGCTCTGTTTGTTTTCATTTTTTTTTTTTTTTTGTTTTTCTGCTCGCTGTCTGCCTGCGGGTCTTTACGGACAGACATATGGATTATGGTACTCGCACTCGATTTGCCCCTAAGAAACCAGAGAAATATTTAGTTGCCAAATCATTTAAGCCGCGGCACACGCTTTGGACCAACAAAAAAAAAATACACTGAACTGAACCATTCTGACAGAGCCATTAAGGCTAGACGATAATCGGTCGGCTCAAATCGGAGATCGGTGAACCTCCAACAACCACTACACAACCACTTACAATGGGCCACAATAATGTTAATTGGAAATTACGTTTAGGAATTGTTGAGGGGCAAAAACCGAAACAGAAACCGAGTCGGTAACAGAGATTCAGTGCTCTCAGAGTTATGGAACTCCCAGTTGAGATTTACTATTTTATATATGAATTTTTCATAACATGCTACAAGCTGTACGCTACCTTTTCCCCGCTTTTCCCCCCGTTCCCGCCCTAATCCCCGCTTTTCGCCGCCAAAGAACAGTTGAAATGGAGGGGAAAAAAAAAACGCAGAGGAAAAAATACTTGTAATAGTCACTCGAGGGGGAAATATAAATTATTGAGCTCGTTTCTTAAGTAATTATCGCACTGACGGACGGAACCAACTCACTGAATCACAAACTGACCGAATGACTAACTGACGGATGGAGAGAAGGACAGAAGTACAGAAGGACGGACGGACTGACTGACGGACTGGTTAAGCGACGATCACGAGATTGCCAGCAGAAATGCCCCAAGCTCAACTTTGTATGTTTCGAGCGTTTATCGTATACCCTTTTAAACTGCATGGTATTTATTGTTTTGTTTAAAAGATATCTGTTATATATTTCATGTAACCTTCGGGAGAGGCTTGGTAGAATCATGTTTTTAAAGCTTTCGATAGCTGCTTTTGTTAGAAAAATAGGATTATAATAAGGCAATGTCATGCCATTAAATTTTGCATTTTAAAAATTAATAAATGGGCGATTTAAAAAATTGTATTTTAAGGTCAAAAAAGTAAATGTTATTTATATATTGAAGAATTTTAAATAATGCTGTCATAATAAAACCCCCTATGCAATTCTCTCTTTGTAAGAAAAGATAATGTTTTTAATAGTTTCTATGCAGACGACTTCCCCTCATCTTTTAATTGTCATGGCATTTGGGAATCTTCTGTAGAGGCTGTGAGTCAGGTTGTGCTCTATCTACCTGGCCATTATGCTGCGGGGTCATACCGGCTCAACCGCCGTAGCACAACTCATCGTTTCTCATTATTTTATTGACTTTGAAGTGTAATTATTTGCCTTTTAGACGAATTCAAAGCGCAGCAGCCGCTAAAATAAGAGAAAAAATAGAGATTGTGAGTCGATTCTCATTTTCTCATTTTCTCGCTCACGTCTTTGCTGCTCATTCGCTTTTATATATATTTTTTTTTTGTTTTCCCCCTCGGCTTTGTTTGGCTTGGCCTCGACTAAGAGATCGTTTCGGTCTGGGACCCAGTCTCGATCTCGGTCTGGATCTTGGCTTTAGTCTCCAGCGGGTCTTGAGTGCGTTCGGACGTGTCCAAAGATCGGCGACCGGTGTTGTGTTGTTCAGTGGGCAGAGGAGCCGAAAAGAGCCTAGGCAAACATAAACTCGATATTTCCGATCGGTTGTTCGGTTTGGTGGCTTCGTGTGTTTACGTGTGGGATCGATCGTGGGATCTGCTTAGTGTCTGTGACGCCTCTGCAAATATTGGCCAACGGTTAATGGCCATGAAGAAGCTCTATGCCAAGACCTCGTTCACCAGCAAGAAGCCGTCGAGTGCCGCCAATTCCACGCCGATTTTGGCCTATCAGCAGCAGCCGGGCAATGGGGGGATGTGCGAGTTTCAGGTGGCTCCCGTTCCCCATTCCGGGGAGCTGATCCGGCGCAGCCAGAGTATGCATCACAAGATGTCGCCTCCCGTCGACGGCTTGGGCTCCAAATCGGAATACTATAGCATTGAGGAGCTGCAGGAGTTGGATTTGCTGGACTATCGCCATCCCATGTACCATCATTATCAGCAGCAGGAGCTGAGGCAGCGCTACCACGAGCACGAGCAGTTGGTCTTGCAGTTGCCCAAAGCTAGTCCCAAGGCAGGGCCCATCTATGAGGCACCTCAGAGATCTCAGCCGCAGCAGCAACAGCAGCAACAGCAGCAGCAGCAGCAGGATCAGATGTTGTATGTACCGACAGCAACTGAAAGAGATACATCAAGTGCAGCCTCATCGATAGCCAGTTCATCTACCCTAACTCTCTCCCCATCCCCATCCTCTCCATCTTCTCTGATCTTTTCCACTTTGCGCAAATGCGTTTCGCCCTCGAATCCGAGTCCCTCGGTGAATCGGAATCTGAACCAACCCTCGAAAACTCAACCCTCCAAACTGGGCTGCTCCATGTCGTTTTCAATTAGAACAACAACAACGGCAACAGCAACAGCAGCAACACCGCCGACACAACAGCAACATCAGCAACAGCAGGCACAGCAGCAACACAAGCAACATCTCTATAGCAACATACATCATTATCTGCTCCAGCAACAACAACAGCAGCAACAACAACAACAACAGCAACAGCAAAAATATCACACATTACAACGTCGCCATAATTCGGTCAAAGATAAATTCATTGGGGGCTTTACAACGATTTTTGCGTATGTGTAACCCACTTCCCTACGCGTCTGTCCTTGGGTTCTGTAATAACCCCCTATTTTCCCACTTTTCTCCTTTAATTCTCCACTCTCAGCACACAGCGTTCGACCCTGGATTTATTTGCGTTTTTGCAACTTATTCTTCGTTTTCTTTTTAGCCGCTTAGCGAGATTGGTCAGAAATCAAAGAACTCTTAACCCCACATCATCCAGCTCAACTCCCCCCGCACTTGCCGTTTAATCATAATTATAATTTAACGCCAATTAAGCTGGAAAACGATTTCGTGTGCACACGAATCTGCATCTGCATTTGCACTCAACTGCAGCTCCAAAACCTGAGCTTAACGCACGAATAAATCCCTCGGCCATGGAAAATTTCACCTGCCACATATTGTAAACACTCCCAGAGCGATTTTCAGTGGCTCAATTATAGGCATACCCTTAGCATCCCATTTTGTTGCCCATTTGCTGCACACTTTTCGAATTTCATCTGGGTTTTCCAGGCAGCTGCACAGCAGAAAATCTATTTTCAATAAAGTTTCAAACTTAATAAATAGCGATTTTTTTTTATTAGAAACATCATTTGTCTAAAACTTTAAAACTTGTATTTTTGTTTTAAAAACTTGAACACAATTGAACACAATATTAGTGAAAAGTTATCCACATCCTATTAAAATGATTTTTAGATTTCGCATATTATAACTATGATTATAATTTTTTATCTGCTTACTTACTTTTATTTTCAGTTTCTTATGAAACGTTAAAGATTTTATGATTCACGATTCTTGGTTTTAATCTTTGATACAGAATTAAGATAATAGTACAAATCCACGTATTAATCACGCTTTAAAGCACACTTTACGTGCGAAAGTGATCAAAAATTTTCGTTTTGTAAGGGCAGAAGTATTTTGTCAATGAAAATGAATGATTCACAAAACCTATTTATAATCACAGTTAAAAAGACTTTTCACTCTAATTACCTTTTGACTTGAGTCCTAACAAAATAACACGTAAAAGTAAACGAAATACTTTTACCAACTTCTTTTTGCAAAACTTCATTTCCTTTAATTACCATTTAATACGTAGTATCCAATTTGTGAGATGGAAATCGTTTCAATGGTAAAAACAGAAATTTAAAAATTGATTGAGCGCTATTGTTTTACGATTACTGTATTACAGTGTGCAAAAACTTCACTTTCGTTGCCACGAATTCGATGCAAATCAAAGCCGCAAAAGCAGGCAGGCTCATACGACTTGGCTCCGATCTGTCGGTTGTTATATAAGGCCCTGAAACGGCGCACAGCTGTGGCCAGCATTTGGATTCGGATTCGGATTGGGTTCCGTCCGCCCGTCCGAATGTCCGTCCCGCCGATCTGTGCACTCCATTTAAGTGCAAAACTACTCGCGGCTTTTGGCCGGGCCAAGTCTGATGCGAGAATTCTGCAGACTCGACTCGTTTGGCGGCTGCTCTCTGTCATTATCTCTCTGTCCCCCAGTAACACACACAACTCGCAGCAACTCGCAGCAACTCGGAGCAACTTAGAGCAACTTGGAGCGGTGCAGGCCAGGCCAGCAAAAAATACAGAAAAAAAAAACGGAGCCATAGGATAGAAACAAAGCCCCAAGTTGAGAAAAGGCAAGGCAAGGCAGCTCGTCATCGCCTTTGCATTTTTCCAATGAAGGCGTTCATTTGTAGCTTGCCATGTTTACTCGGTGGCTAGCTTTAATTGTCAACAGCCTGCGGGTAAAGAATGTTAAAGGTTGAGAGCTTGCGTTCATATTAGAACTTTCATTAGAATCATTTAATCGGTCCGTGCGACTCGAGACGATCAACTGCTGCATGCTGCTTGCTGCATGACAGGTGTGTGAGCACACAAAGAAATGCATTGCACTTCCTGTCCTGAAACTTGGGGGAGGGGGGGATTAGAAGGGGTTGGCTGGCATAGATCAAAGCCCTTACTCACTGGAGTCGTGTGAGAACTCTGGAAAATCACACTGAAGTAAAGTGCAGTGGAGTGGGTTTATAGGGGAAAATATTATAGAGCAGATTTAATGATCTGAAAACGATTACTCATTGCGACATTCATTCTGGGAAGTCTTAATCGAGTTTAAGAAGTCGTATTTAAGTTGGCAAATCAATTTCTTTGAACTTGTTAATTCTTTCGGATAAGCCTTATTAAGCTAAACCTTAACTTTAAATACAGAAGTTACTTTTGAATCACTACTACTATTTAAAATTAGAACAAGCTTTTTAAAGAACTTCTAATTCCATTAAAACAATGTATACAAATTTGTATCTTTATATTAAGCTCTTTTTAGTGTTGATAATAAAAAAGTCCAATTTGAAGACTTTATTGAGCCCAGCTTCCGCTTCAGCTTCCCACGATCTTTCTAGTTTTTTTTTAATAAAACAAATGATAAATCAGGTTTAGAAATTGTTTATTATTAAACATTCTCGAGATATTCTCACTTATTAAGACGTTGCTGTAAGAAAACTATTTCTGCCGAACAAAACTGAAATTCTAAGAACTCCTATGTTTTCCACACTTTTCTTTAGTTTTTCCTTGAGGCGAAAGGTATTCTATAGTTCTGATATGTGATCAGTTTTCCCCTTAAAAGTCTTTATATGTCTCCATCATCTTTCTCATCCAAGCTACTACATCCCACATTTAAATCAAGCAACTAATCCAACTAATTACTCCACCATTTTTTCTTTCAGTGAGCAGAGTATAATTGGGGCCAGAGCCTCTGTGATGGTGTACGATGACAACCAGAAGAAGTGGGTGCCTTCGGGCAGTTCGTCGGGATTGAGCAAGGTGCAGATCTACCACCACCAGCAGAACAACACCTTCCGAGTGGTGGGGCGAAAGCTGCAGGATCACGAGGTGGTGATCAATTGCTCCATTCTGAAGGGACTGAAGTACCACCAGGCCACGGCCACATTTCATCAGTGGCGCGATTCGAAATTCGTCTACGGGTTGAACTTCTCGAGCCAAAATGATGCGGAAAACTTTGCAAGGGCCATGATGCATGCCCTGGAAGTGAGTAACCGATCTCGCCCCCATATGAGAGTAACTGATCTCGTTTTTTAATGAAATGAAATGTATTTTCATGCAGGTGCTCAGCGGACGCGTGGCGAACAATCCAGGTGGTCCGCCCACAAATGGAAATGGCTACGAGGAGGATATGGGCTATCGCACGATGACCAGCGAAGATGCGGCCATTCTGCGGCAGAACAACAGCATAGGTGGCCACGTCACGCCCTCGGCTCAGACGCCCACCTCGCAGACCAACCAGAACAGCATCCCCCAGAGCCCACCGACGCCCCAGGGTCATCACCGCACCAGCAGGTAGGCTGCACTCTCATTAATTGTGTTGGATATGCCATGCTCATTATAAAGCGAAAACCCATTAACTTCTTGTCAAAGCTGGGAACCATTAAAGGAATAATGATCAAATCTTATTTACATTTAAAGTTCATCCCTAACCATCTTCTTCAAACTTTAAATTTCATTTTTGTAACCAATTTTATGTCTTGTTATGAAAATGGTACAAAGTTAAAGAAACTATAAGATTGTACACACAGAAAACAAAACGATGGCCCTGCCATATGTATATGTACTCCCTTATATATATGAGAGATTAATCGTTTAGGTCACGTTTGGGTCAATATTGAGTTTATTGGAGTTTATTGCTTTTCGTTAGTAAAACACATATACCAAAGGAACTTCTTTAACATTTAAATGAGCAGAACAGGAAGAAAGTAAAGTTATCCCCAATCAACTATAAGCAATTGTTAAATAGTAATTGAATAAAGTAATAAAAAAGCAGTAGACATCAGTTAATTATAAAAATATTAAAAATATATTTACATTTACTCACTTAAGTGGGAAACTGTTGTTCTGTCCACTCACGCATGAGCCACACCATCCAACACTTATCTTCGTATCCGTGTCTCATCTCTCACCACTCATTGATCAATCCCCATTCCTCGCCGAACCTTTGCTCACCCAAAAAGGAATTCCCTCAGCGCCCCACCGGCACCGCAGCCCCAACAGCAGCAGCAGCAACAGCAGCAGCAGCAGGCGCAGCAGATGGGTCAGCCGGGATCCCATTACGGACCCACTGGCAACGGACCCACTTCCAATGGCCTGCCTCCGCAGGTTAACCCACAGATTCCGCCGGCACCGCAGCAGCAGCAGCCACAGCAGCAACAGTTTCAGCAGCAGCAGCAGCAGCAACAGCAATATCAACAGATGGTACAGGCTCAGGCGGGCTATGCGCCCAATCAGGTGAGTGCCACACGCTATAACCTCGCCCCATCCCATAGTCCTCATGCGGTATTTCTGTTTCATTTCATTGACAAATTGGCTTCATCCCGAATCTGAATCTGAATCTGAATCTCCTGAAAAACCCTGAAATCCCCGCACCAGCAGTATCAGCAACCCCACTACGTGCTCTCCAATTCTAATCCCAATCTCACTGTGCACCAATACCCGACACAGCAGCAGCAGCCGCAGCAGCAGCAACAGCAGCAGCAGGCGCCCCAGCCGCCGCTCCAGAACGGTGGAATGTACATGGTGGGTCACGGCCATCTACCGAGCTCCGCGAGCGCCAACAGTGTCGTGTACGCCAGCCAGCAGCAGATGCTCCCGCAGCCGCATCCGCAGGCCCCTCAGGCGCCGGCGATGCCGGCTCCGGGCTACGGAGGTCCTCCAGTGCCGCCGCCACAGCAGCAGGCGGAGAATCCGTACGGCCAGGTGCCCATGCCGCCGCCCATGAATCCGTCGCAGCAACAGTCGCAGCCCGGTCAGGTGCCGCTCAATCGCATGAGCAGTCAGGGCGGTCCGGGTGGCCCGCCGGCTCCTGCTCCGCCCCCGCCACCGCCCAGTTTTGGGGGCGCTGTTGGCGGAGGTCCGCCGCCACCAGCCCCGCCACAGATGTTCAATGGCGCCCCGCCGCCACCAGCCATGGGCGGAGGCGGAGGTGGAGGTGGACCACCGCCGGCTCCACCGGCGCCGCCAGCCATGGGGGGCGGACCACCACCGGCTCCGGGCGGTCCGGGGGCACCACCGCCTCCTCCGCCGCCGCCGGGACTGGGAGGAGCGCCTAAGAAGGATGATCCCCAGGCAGATCTCATGGGCTCACTGGCCTCGCAGCTGCAACAGTTCAAGCTCAAAAAGAATAAGGTAAATTTATTTAAACAATAAAGATAGCACATTTTTCGGTAATAATTTCACGAATTTCTATTTGAATATAAAACAAATTAAAAAGGAAATTCTGAAATAAAAGTAATAGTTATCTCGAAGAATATAAAATAAATTAAATAATAGCGAAGTTATATTTTTTGTTAATTTTTATTTTCCGTTTGTTCTTATGGGAGCTATAGACTAATCAAACTAAAAACCAAATTCTGAAATAAAAGTTATATTTTCTTTTCATTTTCCTTTTCCGATTGTTCTAATGGGAGCTATATGATTTTAAGCAAGTTAAAAACCAAATTCTGACATAATATTAATAGTTATCTCGAAGAATATAAAAATAAATTGAAAGACTGCAAAGTTTTTTCATTAATTTCTTTATTCAGATAGCTTTAAAACTGCGTAGAAGCGAGAGTATATATATTATACATATATATATATTTATATTTACTGTGTTGCAAACTTTTGACTGAAATTATAATAAACACAACTACTATTTAAAATTGAGTCTTACCTTGGTTGTATCCCCATATTACAGACCACAGCCTCTGCCCCGGAGAATAGCGGCAGCAGCACCTCCAGCGGAGGCAGCGGCAACTATGGAACCATCGGACGCAGCTCCAACGGCATGGCCTCCATGATGGACGAGATGGCCAAAACGCTGGCCAGACGACGCGCTCAAGCCGAGAAAAAGGATGTAAGTACCCATCTCGTTCACTCCAGAATACTTAATCATAATTTGTTGGCGTTGGCTCATTCAGCCCGATCCTGAGCCCGAGGTGAAGAAGCGTCCCTGGGAGAAGTCCAACACGTTGCCCCACAAGCTGAGCGGAGGCGCCGGCAGCGGATCGGCTGGAAGTGGCCATGAAGGGGCGAATGGAAGCTCGGGTGGAGCTGGGAGCAACACAACGAACAGTGGCGGAGAGTCCCCGCGACCCATGCGCAAACGGTTCGGCAGTGCCAGCGAGGAGACCATTCTTAAGGTGGGTAATCCTGGCCAGAATCACACTAGAGGTCTATAATCTCCATCTCTAAAGCAGGTAAATGGCGATGGCCTGTCGCTGGCGTTATCTAACGGCGACTTGGACACACTGAAGGCTGAGATAGTACGCGAAATGCGATTAGAGATCCAGAAGGTCAAAAACGAGATCATAGAAGGTAAGTCGAGATTTGAAACAATTAGATACTTTAGAGATTCATGTAAAATTATTTAAAACCAATGACAGAGCTTTGAAACACAACTTAAAATACAATACAATAAGATTTTTCCATTTAAAAATACTTTTTCAAATTTAAGATATTTTTAACGATACAAGAAGACACGGCAGAATTTTTAACACATTTTAGAGCTTGTTATTTTTAATATACTTCAGTAAGAAGTTGACACCGCAATTAAATATACCATTTTCTGCTCTATTTGAAAATGTATTATTTCAAAAGTTGCGTACCGATTCTAATCAACTGAATAACTAAATTAACGTGTTATTTCTAATCGTATCTGATTAAGTTAAGAGGCAAATAAATAATTATAATTAATTAAATACCTAATTCTTGCTTATAACTTAATATCAAATGATATTAGGTTATTTTTTAACTTGTTTTAAAGCTAAAAAATCTATTTTTTTAATGTATATTAAAGCTCACATGGTGTCTGTCAAAGCTATTAAACTCATATTTACCTTTAAAGGCAACTCGAGGAAATAAATTATTGAAATTAAAATAAATAAAACATATACATTATTATGAACTAATAAGAGTTCTACAATTCTTACAGCTATCAAATCGGAGTTCAATCGCAGATAGATCAAAGCACTGTCACGATAAACGCCAACGGGCACCAGGCTCCAACGAACTCCCATCACTGCTGTCGTCCCGTAATTGGACGAAGATCAGGATCAGAATCAGGAGCCAGGAGGAGAGCAGGAGCCGGGCGTGTAGTTTAAGACATTCGCGAAGTATTCGATGATCGAAGCTCGCAACATTGCCAGAATGTTGACGATCGATCGACGAGGCAGTGGCTTGTGCATTGATACGCATATTTATGATGCACTTGCTCTAGGTTAACAAAAACAACATCTAGGCTAACACAAAACCACACACACACACACAAATGCCGAGGCGAAGAAGAAATTTAGTCAAAGTAATTATATTTTAAAGGATAGAACTGCTTACCTAACCGACTTCTAAGTTATGTAACTAACTCTGTTGTACATTATTTTGCATAAGTCTATAAGCCAATTTTAGTGTGAGAACAGGAGTATTGCTTGCAATGTTCGGTATATCGTAACCCCCCGCCCAATCTCTCTTTCCTTTGTTTTCCATACCCCCACCTCATCCATTTTTTTAGTTTGTTATGATCCCCGGGATTTTTCCACTGTTTCGTACCAAAATCAAAATCAACAACGTTTGTAATTAAACATAGAACTAATCTCTCTATACACAAACACAAAAAACAAAAACATGCATATATATACGGTTTAATATATATGGACTACTCATTAACCTAACCTAAAGGGAACTAGTATTACGACTCAAAACGAAACGAAAACAATTCCACAAACGTCATCCATCAATGCTCCCAAAAATGAAAAAAGAAGAAAAAGGAAAACTCTCCACGCATTTCCTCCAACAAAACCACAACACTTTCCTAAGCACACGATCTCATACGACTCAATTTAAGAACCAGCAAGTCTTCAGAGTAAATCAGAGAAACAAACAAAAACAGTTCAAAGCGGAATTGAGCGTGGTGTTCAGGACTCAGACTTAGCTCGAGCGACTTAGCGTTAGTATCACATGAATAACCCCTGCGATCCAGCGATCTATACGATCTATACAGCGAAATTAGAAAGCTAAATTAACAATCGACTGCTGCGTATTATACACATAAATAATACTTATAAATATTTAAAGGAAAGCCACTAAATATTGTACACTCCTCCCCAGACTCGGCGGACAAGCCGATCCTGAACATATGCGTACCAATTCAACTTCCATATACGACTAAGACTAAATAGCGAAATTATTGAATGATAGCAAGCCAAGCAAATCGGAAAATGGTGGATCAGATAGCGAGGAAAAGGAAGACCGGACAGGGGCAGAAGAAGGAGAGTTTAGTTCTTAAGCATAACGAAGTGAAATTGTTTATTAAGTGGACAAAAATTTATTTATACTGATGAGAGAGAGAGAGAGAGAGAGAGAGTGGTAGTTGTGTATAATTCGAATGCATATATACATTTTAATTTTTTGTAATTTAACAATAATTTATATTGACTGTGCGAGGTTGCGTCGATATATGATTATATAGAGTATATGAAATACCTAGTTATATGGCGGCCACACACACGGTCCGGTGTGTATGTAAATGTTATGATTTTTGTATTTTTATATATGATCTTTGCATTGCGAAAACAATGGAAACAATTTAATATTAAACACACGTAAACTATTTTAAACGAAGCAAGCGGAAATCGATGCGCGTTGCAGCGGGCGCAACTTTTTATGTATTAAATTAAATATATTATACACTTATATACAACCAGAATATTCAATATACATACAAGAGATGACGAAACGAAGAAGCAGCCGGCATTAACTCGAGATCAAAATATATATTAAAAATCAGCAACGGATTCACTTAGATCGTTAAGGGGCGTAAGTTATATAGCGGCGGCGATCGGGACGGAATAGAAGCGCAAAAACATTATATGCATATTCAACAAAAGAACGTAAAGTGAAATAAACAAGCAACGTTTGTATGTAAAAACCAATTCTGTGTTTTTAATTCTCTAACCGTAAAACCCAATCCGATTTGGGAAGCGAACTCTCGGGGAAAGAAGGTCTAAAATCATTTGTACAACTCGTAAATGATGATCATTTTTTGAAACGGAGCTTATTCTTTTGAAAGCATAAAAGGCAGATCAATATATTCCGCAAAGGCTTGGACATTTTTTTGAGCTGCGTTAAACAATTTTAAAATCGGTATCAGCGCTCTGTTACCAACACTATGTTAGTTCGCATAACAGCAAGCTGTTTGTATTAACAGCCTATACGATATAAAGGCTCGGCTTTCCTCCCAAGCAGTCTTGCATTTGCTTTAATTAACATATTTGTTTATAGAATGTTAAATTCTATTTTTTATTCAATTTCTTTCCTTTTCGTAAAATATTAATAATAGTAAATATTTATAATAATATTAAGAGAGCTAAACGTATGAACTTAATGTTTTTTAATTCTAATTTTTATAGTTAGTCCTTTAAACAAAACTAAAATTACCCAGTGGACACAAATACGATAGTTAGACGAAAATATTCGTATACGGACTTGGGAATAATACAAATCAACGAGCGTAGACTAAAGACTCGATAAATGTTCGTAAACGGACTTAGAAAAGAACATTTAGTGGACAAATACCGGGCCATATTCTGTCACCTTTATGTCCAGTTTTGACTCACTATTGAACCCGTTAGCGGTAGGCAACGCTTCATGGCTCAGGGTGTAAGTGTATTGAAACATTAAACATTAATTAGCTATACAGGTCCCGGGTTTAAATCCTTTTTCGAGCTATCGAAAATCATACTTTTACTGCCACAAACTGGGAAAACTACACTCGTTATACGTTAAAGTCTCGCTTTACCATCGTTTACAAAAGTTTGGTCCACTGGGTAGGATTTGTTTTTATTTTTCGATAATGCCATTACTAATAACAATTTTGTTTAGTTACAAACCGTTTTGTCAACTCTTTAGGTCATATAATAGCTAAAATAGCCTTTGAAAAAAGCTAGAAAAAGCCAGAAAATGTTGATGGTTAAAAACGTTAGAGTATTTTATCGATATTTTGAAAATAGCTTTTTTCCCGCTAAAAGCCGTTTTATGAGAATAGCTGGCAACTCTGTCCTCGAGCTTTCGCGGGCTCTCTTCGGAACTCTTGCATTCTCTCTTTTAAACTCAACGAGTAAGGTTGTTTTCGTCGGATGAAAAGTGAAATAGCGGCGGCATTTCTATCTTTTTGTTCTAATTTATTTTCATTTAATTTATTTTCAAAAAAGCTGAAACCAAAAACAAAAAGAAAAACAAAAGAAACAAAGCGACAGCAAAGTCGTTAAGTTTGCGCGCGTGTGTGTGGTTGTGCATGGGAAATTTGGCAACAAACCGCAAAAATATTTGTTGTGCCACAGCAAAAAATTTAAAAAGCATTGCTGAAATACAATTTAACATATAAACTGCGCGTGTGTCTATGTGTGTGCTTGCTTTACAGAAAAATAATTTATTGAAATGCCGAACTTAAATCGAAATTAAACGGTCCCCAAAAGAGCGTTCTTCATTGATGCTGTAAACAGCTGATTGTTTGGCTCTCTCCGATTCTCTTCTGCGGTCTAATTGTTGTTGTGCTTGGGAAAATTTTAAATGTTGGCCAAGTTTAAATAGGAAACTACTAAATAGAATGTGTGGCCCAGTAACGTGGCAGTGGAAACAAGTAAAAACTAAATTTGGACGCTACAGTGCAAAGCAAACAAAAGTCCACGAAAAATCTACATAATTTGAATGTTATGATTTCTTATCGAATACTAGGCATTGAAACATAACAAAGAAACCAAAAAAAAACTTTTAAAGACAGGCGGAAGCAACCCACGACATTGAACTTAGTTTTCTGAATACAGCCGAGCTTGAATAACTCGATTGTATGTATTTTTTGTAACTTGAGTGGCTTTGAACATTAAACTTTTTTTTTTTCAAACATAAATTAAATTAATTGGACTTCGAAGTTTGTAGTCTCTAAATTCTTGAAAGCCCTAAACAAAATAACAAACGGTCTTAATTAAGTAAAATTGTTAAAAAGCATTTTGCAAAACTAATTTTATGTTTTTTGAGATAAAAATAAATATATTTTAGTTATTTGTAGAATTAAATAAAACATTTTTTAATTTTGATTGACTTAATCAGATTTTGACATCGTTCTTTAAAATCATAAAATCCAATACAAAGCGAATTTTAAGCTCTTTTTCCTACGATTCATATAGAATGTTTATTCTCAATAAAAATTGCATAAAGTTTTAAGATTTAACTGCCGATTTCAACAAAAGCTCCATTGTATCTTTCAATTTTAGTTAATTTTACGGAAGTTTGTAAAATTCTTCACACGTCTACTCGCATTGCCTCGCTCTCCTCTTCTGTCACCGCCCTTTATCACCATCTTCGCGACGAACAAAGTGACAAAAACATAAAAGAGCAGAACAATAACAAACGAAAGAATTCCATCATCGCAATAGAAACACGACTATCTTCTGTCTCGCTTTAGCGAAACGAAAAAAAAGAAGCCCAATAAATAATTTACAAATATTAAGAAATTAAATACGAAACGGCGTTATTTTTGAATCGAGAATAATCGGCAACGTTTTGGTTGATTTTTTGGCATTAAATCGAAATTCGTAGGAATATTAATTGTTATAACGTGGCCTTAAAAACTCGGTCAACCGTGTGAGTAGACTGCAGCAAAATACAGAGAAAACACAATTTGTTTACTATGTGTGCCAAGCAATTCCGCCCGACACCACCCCCATCCGCTCCCCATCACATTCCACTCCTTCATTGATTTGCATTTTGCACAGAGAAATGGTTGACCCTACATTTTTTGGCTCTGGAAGTGGTTGCAACTATTGTTCGGCCACCGAGCTCACGTGCCAACCACACACACACACACACACACATGATTACCCAAAAATATCCCAAGGTGTATAAATTAATCTTTTCGTATCGCAACGGTGTGCTGTCGTCGTCAATAGATGCTCCTTCAGGTGGTCCCTCGCAGTTGCAGATGATCCACGGAGTACAATTAATATAGATGGCTTTCCAACGGTGAATTGCCGTCGGCAATTGAAGTTCCCTTAGGTGGTCCCTCGCAGTTGCAGATGATCCACGGAGGGCGGGGAGTAAGACTTGCCGCTATCTTTGTAGGCCGGCTGGCCGAATAATCCTCAGGATGAGTTACGATGATTATGGAGGAAGGGTGACTGCCCTTCTTTAACTGCTGGCCTAGAGACTCAGACAGTTTTCAAATGATAAAGATTTAACGACGGTTGTCGGAGTTATATTGTATGAGCAACAGCTCTTTATTTGCATGAAGTCAAATCTAAACTAAAACTTAAAGCTACACAAAAGAGACTCATAGCGGCCACTCCAATGGGCAGTGCTTGCCGGCTATGCACGAGCTTCCGGCCAGACGCTGTGTCAGCAATTTGGCCGGAGCGAGCCTTCGGACGATCGGTCATTGCCGTCGCCCGGCTTACTTAGTTAACTACTCCCCCCTCAGAATTAAGGCCGCCCTCGGCCGACCCTATTTTGGCGATCACCTCCTTTAGTTGGGCCGTGGATCTCCTGGCCTGGGTGACTCGCTGATAAGTGAGGCCGATGCAGATCAACGCGCAGCAGATCGCTCCTACGATCAGCAATATCTGGTGTGAACGATAGCCGTTGATATCTTCCCCGAACTTCTTAATGTGTTCCAGGTTACGCTCACTCAAGCGGTGAAGGTACGGAAGGCTAAGTGTGTTGTGCTTCAGGGTGATGTTCAGGATAGGCGAGCTAGCCACTCCTGGTACCCTTTTCTGGGCTACGTCATGATTGACATATCGGGTTTCGTTAACCGTGGCGCTTTCAGTGAAAGTGATGAGGTGTGTGCCTCGTATATGGACATAAGTGCCATTGTCCACCCTTACGCGAGCCGGACGATCGTTCACAATTAGGATGCCTTCATCTACGTAGGTGACGGGATGTAAATCACTGTGTTGGATGCCGCAATGTGCTGTGCCTCCAGCGTGGAGCTCCTGGGCGCATGACCTTCTTAGCGCCAGTTGGCAAAATGTGGCTCCCGGTGTTATGGAGCAATTTTTTACCGTGAGGATTTCTCCATTACAATCCGCTATTACCTTGTCCTCCAGCCTGAGCATTGTGTCGTGATGTGACACGGGGAAAACGGTGATTTTAATACATTCTAATTTAATTTTAGGAAACTTAATTATAAAATGCAAAATGTTAGTGGATTGTAAAATTTTTACGGACGCAACGGACAAAACATCTTTGATGGCAGTCCCGGTGGGCTCTTCCATCCATACACTTTCCAGGTCTGCATGATCTAATATGCTAGGGCTAACTATGCTAACTTTTGCAAGAGCTATTGCAAGTATGAGGTTCTGCAACTCCATTGTGATCATTCTATTTCGAGTTAATAACATCTCAAAAAGATGTCCCGTGTCGACTTGGGACTCTTTAGCTGACCTCAAGAGTTGATTGACAATGGCGGAAATTTTATTGATTTGTTCCTGTACTTTGTTATTGATACTAATTTGCCTATTGTTTGCATTAATTAATTGAAATTCGTTGAATTTAATTTTTTCGAAGTCCTCCGCGTCTGGCGTTCCCGCCACTACTTTTAACGCCGCTCCCAAGAAGTCTAAACTCCTGGCTACTCTGTGGTGGACGCTCAGTGACTCGAGCAGGTCACGCAGGTGAGCGACATCTACGCTCAAAAGCTTCTGCATGTGCGACTGGGGAAACATGTTAATCATGCCGCCAGTTTCCTCCACCACGCGCCTATACTCCGAGAGATTCGCTGAGTGCCTCAAGGATGCGAATTCTTCCCATACCAAAATCCGTCCGTCAATGACGGGAATGTATTTGGCTTGCGAGTAGTCCATGACGTGCGCCGATGTCAGGGCAAAAAGGAATAGCAGAGGTATGAGCTTGAACCTGTAATTTTGGATTTGTTGTAGTG